GGTAGAGCTTTAATAAGATTATCAACTATTTGTCCATAAGGCTACTACTTCTAGTTTCCAATCATAAATTGGTTTACCATGTTGACAAGAAAGCTGATACCTGGTCCAGTGTGTGACCGGTAAATTATCATTCTAACTAGCTCTTTGTCCATAAGGCTACTACTATTCTAGCTTCCAATCTTGTTTGAAGTGTTCATTAAAGTTTTTGCTAGTTTGTAAGTGTCTTTTAGAAGATCCAGAATATATTTTTGCTAAGAGACCGATATTCTTTTTCTTGATCGAGCAACTTCCATCCTAAGAAAATATTTAAGATTACCCCGCTTTGTTCTCAATTTCTTTGGCTAGGAATCTCATCATCTTGTAGAGTTCCTCCTCATGATTCTATATTAAAATCTTATCATCCAAATACACAATAAATATATCCTTCTTGTAAATAAATGCTTCAGTAAACTTGAATTATGAAGGTCAACTTCAGAGTCTAAAAGTTTTCGTTTGAGTAGTTCTAAAACCGAATACATGGAGTGCAATTTTAGTAGTAATAGATCTAATGGGGGTTTGTGATTTTGGTGGACGATTAAGTCATTAATAAGAGTAAATATTTTAGATATCTTGGATCTATCGTCTAGAGTGATGGTGAAATAGATGGGGATACTATTAGTAGATTTCAAGTTGGATGGTTGAAGTGGAGGAATGCATCGGTCCGGTTGTGTGATAGAAAAGTACCCCTCAAACTTAAGGGAAAATTCTATAAGATGGTGGTGAAACCTGCAAAGCTTTATGGCGCAAAATGTTGATTATTAAAAGAAAAGCATACAATTAAGTTAAGTGTTACAGAGATGATGATGCTCAGGTGGATGAGTGGCTTTACTCTTAGAGATAGAATGTGAAATGATCATATATGTGAAAATGTTGGAGTAGCTCTAGTGACATTAAGATTTGAGGGAGTCGTCTCAGATGGTTTGGTCACATAAAACATTAGCCTTCTGATGATATGGGTAGGAGAGTAGATATATTAGATTTGACCTATGTTAAGAGAGTTAGAGGTAGACCTAAAAATACATAGTTAGAAAATATTAGAAATGACATTTTTTTATTAGATTTAAATGAGAGTTTGCCTTTTAACAAGATACAATGGAGAAAAAAGATTCATGTAGCCGACCCCACGTAGTAGTTAAAGGCTTGATGATGATGTTGTTGTTGTAAATGAATGCTGGACAAACATAGTATGATCATTTTGACATTGAGAATAATACGATCTTTTCAATGTCTTGGTAAATCTATCAAATCTTATTTTTGGGAATGTTTGAGCACATACAAAGATTCCTTGAGCTTAAAAACCTTGTTGGCATTAGCATGCATTATAGAACCGGAAATAATCTCTATCTAGAGCGCTTTTTCCATATCCACATCTACTAGTGCATTCTTCACATTTAGCTGATATAGTGGCTAGTTTAAAATTGAGTCAAGCGATAACAACATTCGGACTATATTCAAATTGGCTAGAGGAGGAAAGTTTTCTGGTTATCTAATCTATTGGATTGAATGAAACCTTTTGCTGTGAGTCGAGCCTCAAATATGCTCTTCCATCTGCATTTTATTTGGATGCGAAGAATCATTGGCATCCCATTAGGCATTTTCCAGTTGGCAGTTTATATAATTCCCAAGTCTCATTCTTTTCTAGTGCTTGAATCTCTTCCTGGAGAGCTTTCCTCCATCTTGATATTCTAAGAGCTCCATGAATAGATTTGGAAATATGTACTTTATTAAGGCTAGTAACAAACAGATGGTGGCTAGGAGATAATCCGTTGCAAGAAACAAAATTATAGATGGGATGGCTAATACACAACCTTACAACGGTAAAATAAAAAATCATTATTAGATAACTCAATGAGAGTGTATTCATGACCGGTAGTGAATTCTCACAAGGATCTAGAGTTGAATCACGTTTGTGGCCTTGTTTAGATGCTACATGTTACTCTCTCACTTAATCGAGTCTTGTTTCTTCTAGAACAGATTTGTAACTCACTGTGACCAATAATTTTTATGGAGATAGGACATTTAGGAGTTGAATTTTGAGGATTTGTAGGACTGATTTTGTGTTTCTGTTTAGGTGGATTTTTGATAGGATAGATTTGGGTTTGGGTTAAGTAAATGATCCATTTGAACCACAGGGGTCATATTCTATTGGAATCTGAAAGAGACTTGTAAAGATTGTGAGATGAGCGAGAGGTATCAATCTCCCAATATTGATATTCTTGTAAAATTCTCCCCCTAAATTTTCAATTTGGGCTAATAAAGCTGCTACTTGAAAAAAATAATCATCCATGAAGTTTTAGGAATTTATTTTAAATGGAGCATAACATTTATACCATATTTAGTTTGGAAAGTACCCGACATAAATACATTTGGAAGCTTTGGGATCTAATTTCCTTTGGATTTGAGGATAGACATGTACAAATGCAGAGTAGGGGTGTCAATATTTGACCCGACCCGAACCCGACCTGAAAATTTTGGGTTCGGGTCGAGTTCAGGTTAGGAATTTCGACCCGTTTATAAAACCTGGTTGGGTTCAGGTTGACTCGTTTGACCCATTTTTAATTAATTTAGGAGGGTTTTAAAAGATTGTTATGAAATAAGTAAATGATATTTCTAAGAAATAATAAACATTGTTGCCCAAATTAAATTAAGCTTGATTTATTTTAAATTGATTGAAGTAAATATTATCTTAATTTGATTTAGATTTAAATAAATTCAATTAAATAAAAAATTTTTTAGTAAAACATATTCGAAGCGGGTCGGGTTCGGGTTCAGAAAACTGTCCTGTTTGCAAAAACGGGTCGGATTCTGGTCAGGTCGAACAATGTCGGGTTAGTTTCGGGTTGGACTCTTACTTGACCTGTGACCCGATTTTGACAGCCCTAATCCAGAGCACCCAAATACTTTAATGAGAATGGTGGATATGATTTGGGTATTGGGGTATGAATGGAGGACAGCAGGATGTATGAAAGTAAAAATGAGAGAGCGAGTTCCTTACAAGAGATCTGTTTTTTCTTTTTAACAATTTCATTTTGTTGGGGCCTGTTAACACATGAACTTTGAGGAATAATGCGCTAGCTCATTAGATAATCACAATGGCTCCAAAATATTCTTTTGCAATGTCAACTTTTTAACACCTATATTTTTATATAGAATTTATGTATGGATCATCGTAGTGCCAAAATTTTTGAAAATATGACCTGCTTCAAATTTTTCTTTCTTGAGAAACAACAAATGTCCGTTGTGTGATCAGCTATGAAAGAAATGAACTATCTAGATCCAATGACATTCTTCATTATAGATGGTACCCTAACATTATTGTGAATTAATGAGGAAGTATGGGATACTTTGTAATGTTGAATTTAAAAAAAACTATGATTGTGCTATGGAAATTGTCAAGCATCACATTGTCAACCTTTTGGGATTTTGTCACTAAATAATGAAAGAGTTTTTGTGGAGGTAAACAAAGTTTGGATGACCCAATCGAGAGTGCTGTAGCATGATTATACATTTTTTTTAAAATAACTCAGAATTTTTACCAGATTGACTATAGTATCCAATACATTATTTTTGTGAGTTTTACACTCTAGAGATTCATCAACTTTGAGGGGATAAATCACTAAGCACACGTTAACACTATTAATCATCTTCCTCGAATCCAAGTCTTAAAATTCACATGAGTTTGAGGAAAAGTTAAATAACTTAGTTGAGTTCATGAGTAAGTTTGTGATGGACTAGTCCCTCCTGGACTAGCCACTGCTGGGCCAATCAACATGTTTGTCCTGTTTTTCTTTGATGACATCTTGGTGTACCGCAGGTTAGACGATAAGCATTTGGAGCACTTGAAGGTGGCGATTGAGGTATTACGGGAACACCAATTGCAGAAAAACTTGAAGAAGTGTTGCTTTGCACAGCTTAGTGTGGAATGCTTGGGGCACGTGGTATCTCAGGAGAGGGGAAAGCTGATCAGGCCAAGATTGAGGCTATGCTGAAATGGTGACTACCTAGGCCTTCCCTAGGGTTGAACGGGTACTACCGGAGGTTTGTGAGAAGATACAACACTATAGCTTGACCACTGATGAAATAGTTGAAGAAGGATAGTTTTATGTGGGGAGAGGCAACGACCTAAGCCTTTGAGTAATTGAAGAAGGCCATGAGCATGGCAACTATCTTAGCCCTACCCGGTTTTATTCAAGTTTTTGTGGTGGAGATTGATGCATCAGGGTATGGATTGGGGGGAGTGCTTATGTAGAATCACAGGCCCATTGCTTACTTTAGCCAGGTGTTTACAGCTAGAGTGGGGCTGAAGTCAGTCTAGGAGTGGGAGTTGATGGCCATAGTGTTGGCCATTTAGAAGTATCGACCTTACTTGTTGGGCCGACATTTCATTGTCAGGATAGGCCAGAGGAGCTTGAAGTACCTATTAGAGCATAGGATGGTGACAGATGAGCATCAAAGGTGGATTTTGAAGCTGTTGGGATATGATTTTGAGATCCATTATAGACGACTGACTCATTGTCTAGATGTCTAGGGGAGCTCCAGGAGTAAGTCATTTCGGTCCTTTAAAATAACAAAAAGAACTTATTCAAACTAACTTGGAGAGAATTCCATCTGTAATTCTAACAATAAGATTTTCTTGGCATCGGTTATATGAGAAGAAAAGTGTCATCTCCCATCTTATGCTAAAAAAATCCCCAAGAAAACAATCCTTGTGCTCATTTTTTGTTTGTTTATGAGTACTCAAGAAATTATCTTTATGACATGGAAGCCTTGTTTAAATTATGTTGGAGGTAGGTGTTCGAAGCAATTAATAAAATACCACTATAATATCTCAACTTGTTCCTTACTGAATGGACTTGAGTCGAATTTTGTGGTGGTTTCCTCGATTGAGATAAGGTTTCCATTGCTTTCTTTGTTGAAAGGAGGTATTGAAACTATCCATATATTGCTTTCTTTGTTGAAAGGATCATGAACTACCAAAGGAGTGGAAGCACCAGCGACCTCATTCACCTCAACAAATTTCCGACGATCCTTCAGAATCTATTCATACTTGTTCTTCCTTCTATATTGAGGTAATTTTTAGCATTTGTTTCTTTGGTAAACCTAAATTTTTTGCAAAAAAAGATAAATTTTGGATGATAGCCATGCACGGACTTTAACGAATTCGAAAAAAAAAGAGTAATTTTTTATCTAATGATCTTACATTTGATGTTGATCCCTAAGTCAATATCAAATGGGGGCTTCAAATACTTGCCGACTTCATTGTCTCTCACTTTTCCCCGCTAATTTTGAAAAATTATTCTGCGCGGACTCGGACGGCATCCGGAGATCAATCAGAACCCTCCACGTTACTTTTTTGTTGGGTACCAGTGCTCGGTACCGAATGATGTGGCACGTTCTTTTTGATCTCCGGACCATCTGGTGTCCGCACAGAATAATTTCTCGCTAATTTTAGGGTTTAGTCAAGGTACAAATCAAACACATGCAGCTGTAGACGTTTGCTACACATCCAAGAAAGATATCTAGATATTCAACTGCTTTTTGTTCTTTATTTTTAGTGCCAAACAATGAATTTCCTCACAGTTATATACTAAATTCAGAAAAAAAAAATATCAAGCACGCATAAAGAGAAAAGCTTGGGGAAGGGTTGAATGAAAGAAAGTGTAATCTTGTTTTACCAAAAGCAAAATAAAAAGGGAAATCAAATATGTCATCAATTCCGATCTGCTCAAAGTGGAACTGTTTTTGAAAAATAGTATTTTGACATTTTTATTAGGGCTTCGTTTGAGACGGTTTTTTATTGTTCCTTAAAGTCAGTTTTTTATTTCTTCTTAAAACAGCTTTTTAATATAAAAAATTTTGTACTAAAAAATTATTTTTAGTAAAAAAGCACATAAGACTTTGTTTAAGATAATTTTCTTTATATTTTTTAAAATAAACTTTTAGTACAAATATTTTCTGAATTGAAATTTTTTGTACCAAATAATTATTTTAAAAATCAATAAAAAAAGGGCCCCAAATGAATACTAAGACCCACACTGGAATAAGCTTTATTGGTCTTTAGTAGCCAATTTATAATGTGTATTAAAATATCTAGCAGATATGATGGTCTCTTTGTTCAAGTAGTTGAGAATTTTGTTCTTCTTTAAAGAGATGTACATTTGAAATTGAATTGGTAGGCTTTTAGCTTAGCATTCAGAATAAAAATCTTGAAGATTTTTTTTTTTTTTCCAAAATCTGAATGCAACAAAACAATGGAAGAAAGTATCAATATCTTTCCACAAGATCAAATTCTCATAGTCTATCAGAGATAATATCAAGATGAAAGAGATGGCTGTAAAGGAAGACAAAAGTGCTTATTAATGAACAGCTTTGTAAGAAGTAAAGCTTCTAGTTAAAATTAGGTAGAGGACAAGAAACAACACCATTACCAAATAAAGAATCCTACCAGTTTCATCACCACTAAGAAAAATGAGAAAAGGAAAGAGAAGATTATAGAGGTGAGAGGAAAAAAAAAAAACTAAGATTTTCCAAGTAGCAAATCGATATTGAGGCTTCATTTGGGTCAGCTTTCTAAAATAATTCATTTGGGTCTGCTTTCATTGAGCTTAAGCCTCCAATCCACCTCACTTACAGTCTTTGATCCATAAGCAACCAATCGAATCCCTATCTGACTCTTCCTCCCATCCAACAGCAAACAAAATCCAAAGATTGTAAGCCTTGCAGCCGCGACTTTCACTTCTTGTGCTCGACCTCCAAAGCTCTTGATCCGGCTCCCACAATCCCGAACTCCACTCACCCACCTCCCTCGATCCCGATTCACACTTGATCGAACCCGACATCTGTAGCTGTGCCAAATCTAGTCGCAAGCTTCGGCCAAACGCCCATTCTTTCTGTGCTGAGGCCTCCAACAGTAGCCGTCGGATCCCGATCCTTTCCGCTTCACTCACCAGCTTGTCCACATCTTTCTCTCACGACTGAACAAATCATCTATTCACTGTTCTGACCTTCTACCTCCCCACGGACCCCACCCCCTCCATATACAGCTTCACAACCCAACACCTCTTCTAGTCCAAGCACACCATTCAGCCCATTTCCTAAACTCAACTTCACAAAATCCAAAGTCATTTCTTGGTTTTCTTGGTTAATCTCTTTATTATTGTTATCTTTAAAAAGGGGAGAAAAAATAATGGTGAAATATTTGTGTTTTGTGAACGTCATCGTCCCTGACATTTCCACTATCGTCATTACCCTCGACATCATCAACATCGCAGCTGTCGACCCCTTCACAAAGGTATTATGACCCCTCAAACCTTAAAGCTTAAAATTCTACGTTTAGCGCTATCGGTGGACCCTACACGCTCTCATAGCATGCTAAGAGAGAACTCGATGCAATGCTTGCAATGAGGTAGGTAGGCCTCTAAGCGCTTTCATAACGTGATGAGGACAAAATGAAGTATCTGTGCGTGCCTCATTTGTAGGATTGAAGACTACGGTTGTGGTGTCACCTGACACCTATCCTACATGCTCTCGTAGTGTGATATAGAAGGCCTAGCTCCTGGAATTTCTCATAAACGGGGGAGACGCTGAGAGGCAGCCAAAATTCAGAGCATAGAGGACCTGGATTTGAACTGAGTGCGGGGGACTTGAACTAAATAAAACTATAAGGAACATAATTTGGAATCACAAGGACCTTGATATAATACTTAGAATAAAATTATAATTTCTAAAACAACAAAATTTTAAATTAAATGCAAGTGAACATGCAAGAACCTGTGGTGGATAAAGAACCCTAAGGGCAACCTGCTTGCAAGTAAAGATAAAAATGGAAAATATGACGACAAGCTTACAAGCAAGAACACAAAATCTATAATAGGATCATCATGTTGACTGGATTGTGAACATCGACAAGCAAGTTCATTAAGTTGAAGAGAATGTATAATTTGCAAAGTTGGGCTGTCACACCAGATAAATCAATAGTAAAGGTTGCGGGCCACTGGTAAAATGAGGTAACAAATTTGCAATGTTGGGCTGTCACACCAGATAAATATGTATATTTGCAAGTGATATGTAGGAGGCTCCTAACACACTAAACAACTTATTTACAGGTTAAACTACACCCAGTAGACTGAATGCTGGCGAAAATGACAACATGCATGAATAAGCCAAACTGTGTTGTCAATGTGCTACAAATGAAATTCAATGCGTTGGTTGGTACGTTACGCCATCGGATCCATAATATCCATGCAAGGGAACAAAAGGCATCCACAGGCTTTCAAATGAAACCCAACGCATCTCTCAATGACAGTCATTTGCACAAGCTGATCATTACAAAACCATCCCCCATGCATTAAAATATGCACTGATGCATTCACATCATGTATATATACATTGCAAAATACAAAACACATCATGCAAGCACATTATCCAACATGTAAAATGTGATGTGCAGCAGCAACATGCTACACCGACATGCAAATGCATCATGTACTGCATGAAAGCACTAAATCATCATTTAATGCATTATATAAGCAAACATACAATAAATGTAACATCATGCATGCATATCATGTAAATATGCTATATGTGTTAGCACATTAAGCCGCTACATATCATATCAACATATCATGCAAGTATGACAAAGCAATGCACAAATGCATATGTTAACATACATGCATATATGTAATTAAATATCAGAATGGGCATTGACGAGTGTATTATAGGTACACACATGATGTCTGAAGATGATGCACGGGTCAAGAAGTTAACTTAAGTTCGAGTCTAATACTTCTACATGAATAGATAGAAGTCCACACGGATCGAACTATCAAACAAATATATGATCGTGACATTGATCGGGATATTCTTTTTATACATGCATATTAGGCATTTAAGGTCTACAATTAAGAAAAAATCACTAATGAAGGTATAAAGCATATAACGAACCTGATCCTCTATCAACAAGTAGGCAGAGTTGACAAGATTCAACCGACAAAACAAAACTGTCCATAAATATCCTGGTGATGGTCGTGTTGACAAAAAATCTCAATTGGGGGGATCACAAACATTTAAATATATCCCAAATGCTAATGAAAATTCAAAATCTAAAAAATACAAAAACTCAAAATATTTAAAATTAAAATAAATCATCAAATAATCAAAATAAAATTCATTCACACTCCACAACAGTTTGCCGAGGTGGATAAATTCAAAAATTACTTCAACTCACAAAGAGCTAATGTCTTATTGAGAATATCACTAAGCTTTATTTTCAAACAATATCTTTCCAGTAAAGACATTGCACGTGTTCTCTAATCGATGGTTTTATCGCCAAATGACACCACAGGTAAACGGTTATGACCGGGACCCTCTGAACCCTTGATTATGTCGCCGAATGGCACCACTAAATTATGGTCATGATTATAGCCCAAATATTCCTTAATTGCTTCAAATCCTTGAGATATAAATCAATATGATATAATCGATATGGCACAAAGCTCTCTATTAGCTAAGGTGGATTCAGATTTGTCCGCTTAAGCAAATGTTCACCCCAGGTCTACGAGATACTCTTGGATGAAGCAACCTATGACTGCTGACAATGATTGCTCTGTTAGGTTGGATCGACTATCTCCTTTAACTAAGTAGACCAATGAGCAAGATAATCCAGGACGACGAATTTATGGGATCTTGATCGGGTTTATCATCACTTCCCTCACCATCCGCTTTAAGCACAAGATGGTGGAAATTTTACTTTTAAATATTAAATCTCAAAACTATAAACCTATGCTACTATTATACACCAAATACTATGTATTCATTTGATGAATAGCCTTAATCTAAAGTTCTCTCTCGTTTTCGGGAGGGGTAATTAACTATAGGGGCTTGCGCCTATAGGAAACTAGAGCTCATATCATAAAGTCATCGTAAAATGAGGGTGAAATCTTTGGATAATGTCTTATTCAAATCCCAATCTATCTTCTGAAAATTTGCCTTAGAACTTAAGCGTTAAAACTCTTTTTGACGACCCGAAAAGAAAGAAAGTGGTCCGCGGAGAGGCCGTGGTGTGAATTTTTTAAGCCCACAATACTCTTCTTTGATATGAGCATAAATCCGTGTTATTTGTAAGAAACTTTTAAATAATTGATTATATTGTTAGTCCTGCCATTTCAAAAATCTTCTATTATATATATATGCTCGTAGATATTGCCATGCTCGTAATGAATTAGTAAGTTTGATAGATATGTTATTTTTTATTTTTTGTTGCATAATATAATGGAGCAAACTCTTAAATATGGAGATATTGTATGCTTTGATCTAAGAGCCTCACTATTTTGTCTAGTTAGTGTAATTTTTGAAGAGGTCACCAATTCTAGGATTTCTCTGGGATGAGCACGCTTAATTAAGGAGTTTCTTATATGAAATTTCAACCATTACATCAAAAGGCACCTTGATGCTTAAAAGTTTAGCTTTTTTTACTTAAGGAGTTTGACACAATCTCCTATACATTTGTAATACTCGTATTCTTATTGAATGCAATAAATATCATATTTACAAATCATATCATGTTATGAAATGATAATATTCATATTGAAAATATAACCTCCATTGAAAATCATTCATGAAAAATTGAAAATTGTAAACATATGTGCTATTGTATGTAAGTTAGTACAACCCTATTAAATATTGGTTAGTCGGGCCGATGGACCCACATACTGACCATTCTCTAGGAAATCATTAGATTTTCTTGGGTTGGTGTTTTACTTCTCGATGATGGACATTTGACAAACTGAAAAATGAATGCCTGGAAAGTTATAAGGGGGTATGATGATGCAATGTGGTTGCAATTGTAAACATTGGAATACATACATTTACAACATCAGCATGCATCATTGCTTTAATACATTGATTTTAGGTTGGGACTCTAACCTTTTTATTGTTCAAACTACATGTCACATTCTTTTATTGTTTATGCTTTGATAGATTAAAATTACTTGTGTTTGATTTGTCAAACTTACTAATTATTACTTTTCATAGCAGGTCCTGTCAAAGTGTTAGGTGGACCGTCATCTCAAGAGCAAATCTATCACCAATAGAAATTTTATTTGGTACTTATATATTTGTAGTATGTCATTTATATAATTACCTTTAAGAGTTGGATAGTTTTTTTTTTTTTTTTTGTTATTATTACTTTCAGATTTCTTTTGTTTGTTGTAATCATTTTGCATTGATGTACTATTTGAAGTCACAATGAAATAAAAGTTCTAATCTCTTTTATGTCTCTAATATGTTCGATTATATTATTAATTTATATACTTTTCTTTTTGTGAATGCAAAATAGAACTTTATATCCTTTCATCACGTCTCGTGTTGCTAGGTTGTACTGCCTTCCCGACTTCGGGGTGTGACGGGGAACGAGAAAAAATGCGGTTGCTATTTTAGCATTGAGGCTAGTGTTGCATTTTGCTCAACTCAGAGTAAATTTTGTAGGTTTCTAACTGAAATATCTTAGAAATCAAAGAATATTTCAACAAAAAATCAAGTCCATTGAAAATTTGAATTTCGCACGAAATTTGAAACTTATTTCTAGTAGTAGAAAAATTCACCAAAATTTTGCCGCAATGTTATCAAAACAAAATTTGATGGAAAATTTTTAATCTCATGATTCCTTCAAAGCTCTCCCAAGATTGGTGGTATTAAGAAAATCCCATCGTTTCTACTCATCGTTGTTCATTGGCACTTTACAGAAGCTAATGCTTCCAACAATCAGATTCATATCCTCTCCAATTATAATAATAATTGAAAAATAAAGTTCTCAAATCCCAGCCATCTAATATAAATTGGATGGTTCTGATTTTTCTTTTTTTTTTCAAAATCAGTGAGTTTTAAAGAAACAAAGAAAAATCAACCCCAACCATCAACCATCCAAAGTGGATCGGATGGCTGTGAATGGTTGAGATTGGATAACTTCATATCCGAACCCAAAATTGTTAAAGCTGGCAGCACCATGAATTTTGCTTCCAATATTGCTACCTTAAGGAGATCTCCAACCTAAAAACTCATTTTCCACCCCAAAATGTAGTAAAACTTCAAAATGTAGTCGTTTTTCTCCAATTGAACACCATTTATTCTTCTTTCGCGCGCTTCCTACGAAAGAAACAATCTTTTGCGCACTTTTCTCCTCTTTCGAGCACTTCTTCAACAAATCCAGCAACGAATTTTTTTGACGTAGGTGAACAGTCTGAAACTAATATTGGCATTGCACTGTTCACCTACAGAATTCGGCGTGTGATTTGAAATCCGAATGGAGCATATGACAAACGACATACGGTGATATGAAATTCGGCTGGAGATGACCTTATATATGAAAAATATATTCTTTTTTTTTTTTTCAGAAATCAAGATGGTACACAATAGAAGAACAATGAAGACATAAAATTTGAGATATGAATGGCTCTACTAAAACCTATATGATTATATCTCTTCAAACCCTCCCAGAAAAAAATAAAAACTATACACAGAAGCAAGTTCTGGTATTTGAGGTATCTTTTTCTTACCACATGGTGATCGAAGTTAAGAAACAATGGCAAAAAAGCCTGATTTGTTGGCCTCTTCAGTATGATTGATAATCATTTCTTGTTGAATATGCCGAAAAGGGATTTGATTGCATTGATGGCATTCTCGTTTATGAAAGACTCATCATACTTCTTCATAAGGGCCTCAAATTCTTCTGATGCTCTAACATTGGCTAAGTCTGGATCGCTGCGAATTCGCTGCAACAAAAAAGAGACAACAATGGCTAAGAAACTGAGCAGAGGATCAATTGCAGAAACTGAAGTGAGTTTCTGTCGGTCTGAATTCTTACCTTGAAATTTTCATATCCTGCTTTCAAGGCATCTTCTAATGCAGAAAGTCCAGCATTTACCTGTACAAAGGAGCAGCTTTTAAGATTGAGGCACATTTGGGTCTGCTTTCATTGAGCTTCAGCCTCCAATCCACCTCCCTTACAGTCTTTGATCCATAAGCAACCAATCGAATCCCTATCTGACTCTTCCTCCCATCCAGCCACAAACAAAACCCACAGGTCGTAAGCCTTGCAGCCGTGACTTCCACTTCGTTTGCTCGACCTCCCAACCTCTTGATCCGGCTACCACAATCCCAAACGCCACTCACCCATGTCCCTCGATCCCGATTCACACTCGATCGAGCCCGACATCTGTAGCTGCGCTAAATCTAGCCGCAAGCTTCGGCCAAACGCCCCTTCTTTCTGTGCTGAGGCCTCCAACAGTAGCCGTCGGATCCCGATCCTTTCTACTTCACTCACTAGCTTGTCCACATCTCTCTCTCACGACTGAACCAATCATCTATTCACTGTTCTGACCTTCTACCTCCCCACGCCCTCCATATACAGTCTTCACAACCCAGCACCTCTTCTAGTCCAAGCCCACCATTCAGCCCATTTCCTAAACTCAACCTCACAAAATCCAAAGTCATTTCTTGGTTTTCTTGGTTAATCTCTTTATTATTGTTATCTTGAAAAAGGGGAGAAAAAAATAATGGTGAAATATTTGTGTTTTGTGGACATCATTGTCCCTGACATTTCCACCATCATCATTACCCTCGACATCGTCGACATCGCAACTGTTGACCCCTTCGCAAAGGTATAATGACCCCTTAAACCTTAAAGCTTAAAATTCCGCATTTTGGCGCTATCGGTGGACCCTACACGCTCTCATAGCATGCTGAGAGAGAACTCGGTGCAACGCTTGCAATGAGGTAGGTAGGCCTCTAAGCGCTCTCATAGCATGATGGTGACAAAATGAAGTACCCGTGTGTGCCTTATTTGTAGGATTGAAGACTACGGTTGTGGTGTCACCTGACACCTATCCTACACGCTCTCGTAGTGTGATAGGGAAGGCCCAACTCCTGGAATTTCCCCTAGACTGGGGAGACGCTGGGATGCTATCAAAATTCAAAGCATAGAGGACCTGGATTTGAACTGAGTGCGGGGGACTTGAACTAAATAAAACTATAGGGAACATAATTTGCAATCACAAGGAACCTGATATAATACTTAGAATAAAATTATAATTTGTAAAACAATACAATTTTAAATTAAATGCAAGTGAACATGCAAGAACCCGTGGTGGATAAAGAACCCTAAGGGTGACTTGCTTGCAAGTAAAGATCAAAATAAAAAAAATATGATGACAAGCTTACAAGCAATAACACAAAATCTATAATATGATCATCATGTTGACTGGAATGTGAACATCGACAAGCAAGTTCATGATGTAATCACAAATTATCTTTAGGTGCAACAACAGACTTGTGATTTTCAACATGGTCACTCACAAGCAATTAAGTTGAAGAGAATGTATAATTTGCAACGTCGGGTTGTCACACAAGATAAATCAATAGTAAAGGCTGCGGGCCACTGGTAAACTGAGGTAGCAAATTTGCAACGTCGGGCTATCACACCAGATAAATCAGTATATTTGCAAGTGATATGTATGAGACTCCTAACACACTACACAACTTATTTACAGGCTAAAGTACACCCAGTAGATTGAATGCTGGAGAAGATGACAACATGTAGAAGATGAATAAGCCAAACTGTGTTGTCAATGTGTTACAAATGAAATTCAATGCGTTGGTATGTTACGCCATCAGATCCATCAGATCCATAATATCCATGCAAGCGGACAAAAGACATCCACAAGCTTCCAAATGAAACCCAACGCATCTCTTAATGACAGTCATTTGCATAAGCTGATCATTACAAAAGCATCCCCCATGCATTAAAATATGCACTGATGCATCACATCATGCATATACACATTGCAAAATACAAAACACATCATGCAAGAACATTATCCAACATGTAAAATGTCGTGTGCAACAGCAACATGCTACACCGACATGCAAATGCATCACGTACTGCATGAAAGCACTAAATCATCATGCTAGTGCATTATACAAGCAAACAGACAATGCATGTATACATCATGCATGCATATCATGTAAATATGCTATACATATTAGCGCATTAAGCTTCTACATATCATATCAAAATATCATGCAAGTATGATAAAGCAATGCACAAATGCATATGTTAACATACATGCAAATATGTAATTAAATATCAGAACGGGCATCTGCGAGCATATTATAGGTACACACATGATGTCTGAAGATGCTGCACAAGTCAAGAAGTGAACTTAAGTTTGAGTCTAATACTTCTACATGAATATATAAAAGTCCACACGGATCGAACTATCAAACAAATATATGGTCATGACATCGATCGGGATATTCATTTTATACATGCATATTAGGCCTTTAAGGTCTACAATTAAAAAAATCACTAATAAAGGCATAAAGCCTATAACGAACCCAATCCTCTGTCAGCAAGTAGGCAGAGTTGACAAGGTTCGACTGACAAAACAAAATGCTGATGATGGCCGTGTTAATAGAAAATCTCAATTGGAGGGGACCAAAAACATTTAAAATATATCCCAAATGCTAATGAAAATTCAAAATCTAAAAAATATCAAAACTCAAAATATTTAAAATTAAAATAAATCATCAAATAATTAAAATAAAATTCATTCACACTCCACAAGAGTTTGTCGAGATGGATAAATTCGAAAATTACTTCAACTCACAAAGAGCTAATGCCAGATCGAGAATATCACTAAGCTTCATTTTCAAACAATCTCTTTCCAGTAAGGACATTGCACGTGTTCTCTAATCGATGATTTTATCGCCAAACGACACCACAGGTAAAGGGTTATGACCGGGACTCTCTGAACCATGTGATTATGTCATCGAATGGCACAACTAAATTATGGTCATGGTTAGATCCCACATATTTCTCAATTGCTTCAAATCATTGAGATATGAATCAATAGGATATAATTGATAGGGCACAAAGCCCTCTGTTAGCTAAGGTGGATTCAGATTTGTCCGCTTAAGCAAATGTTCACCCCAGGTCTACGAAGCAACCTATGGCTATTGACAATGACCCTTCTGTCAAGTTGGATCGACTATCTCCTTTGACTAAGTAGACCAATGAGCAAGATGATCCGAGACGACGAATTTATGGGATCTTGATCGGGTCTATCAATACTTCCTCCACCATCCGCTTTAACCACAAGATGGTGGAAATTTTACTTTTAAATATTAAATCTCAAAACTAAACCTATACTGCTACTATACATCGGATACTATGTATTCATTTGATGACTAACATTAATCCAAAGTTCTCTCCCATTTTCGGGAGGGGTAATTAACTATAGGGGCTTGCGCCTATAGGAAACTAGAGCTCATATCATAAATTCATCGTAAAATGAGGGTGAAATCTCTGGATAATGTCTTATTCAAATCCCAATATATCTTCTAAAAATTTTCCTTAAAACTTAAGCGTTAAAACTCTCTTCGACGACCCGAAAAGAAAGAAAGTGGTCCGCAGAGAGGCCGGTGCGCGAATTTTTGGAGCCGAGAATACTCTTCTTTGATATGAGCATAAATCCGTGTTATTTGTAATAAACTTTTAAATAATTTATTATATTGTTAGTCTTGTCATTGCAAAAATCTTTTATTTTATATATATGCTCATAGATATTGCCATGCTCATAATGAACTAGTAAGTTTGATAGATATGTCATTTTTTATTTTTTGTTGCATAATGTAATAGAGCAAACTCTTAAATATGGAGATATTGTTCGCTTTGGTCTAAGGGCCTCACGATTTTGTCTAATTAGTGTAACTTTCGAAGAGATCACCAATCCCAGGATTTCTCTGGGATGAACACGCTTAATTGCGGAATTTCTTAGATGAAATTTCAATCATTACATCAAAAGGCACCTCGATGCTTAAAAATTTAGCTTTTTTTTTACTTAAGGAGTTTCACACAGTCTCCTATACATTTGTAATACTCGTATTCTTATTGAATGCAATAGATATTATATTTACAAATCATATCATGTTATGAAATGATAATCTTCATATTTAAAATATAACCTCCGTTGAAAATCATTCATGAAAAATTGAAAATTGTAAACATATGTGCTATTGTATGTAAGTTAGTACAACCCTATTAAGTATTGGTTGAAAGTTCGTTAGGGATGTTAAGCCCTATAGAACTGGCCCAAGGCTAAATAAAGAGAGTGGTAAATTGGTAAAGAAGAAACTTTAAATCAAAACACAAATCAAAATCACCACAAATAAAACAAATGCGAAAATTAAATGCGGAAGCAAATAATAAGAAAGAACATACCGGATTTATAGTGGTTCGGTCAAACCTTGACCTACGTCCACTCCTTGGAGGCACCCTCCAAGTATTGCACTAAAATAAGTGCATCTCCTTTAGCCCCCACAGATAGGCGAAGAAGCCCTTACAAAATCACTTCCACCTTCCCCGGTGCGGCGGAGTTGCCGGGTCCTTTGACACTAAAGAGATCTTCTTCTTTGGTGAACTTCCCTCGAGACAAGCCTTGAATCCGACGGTATTAAGATGCAAGCCTGCCGGAGCAACCGTGTGGAATCCCCCTCCACACTCCCTTGAGTCCCCCCTCACAGAATCTTCTCCCTCTCTCAGACTTCACCCGTTCCTCACTCCCTTTCAAGTTTTCTCTTCAAGTTTTCCCCACAAGAACGAAGCTACAATGGTTGCCAAAGACACTTACAAAGTGCCTTGTCATCTCTTAAATAGAAGGGCTCAAAACAAGCTCATTAATGTAAGTTGCCGACATTATCATCCAGGAAGATAGGCATATCGTCCTGGCCGATTAGTTCAAATATGAGGAAAATCATCCTGAATATCGCCCTGAAATGAAGCTGGACGATATCTAATCGGCCCGGACGATCTTGCGATCAGCCCGGACGAAATCACCATTAATTGCTTTCCAAAATTGCCAGAGAAATTATAGAAAAATTATCCTGCATAGTCATGGCCGATATTTTATAGTCCAGGCCGATCCACCAAGCCGATATCCAAAAATAAGTATTTCCTAAGTAGATCTGGCAGCAGATTCTTTCTGAATTTAGCCTATCGTCCTGACCGATACAAAATCGTCCAGGATGATGTGTTTTGCATAATGACGACTGCTTTAATGAGGATGCCCTAATTAGGGGTTCTGCTTTTGAACAGATCGTCCCGGCCGATATAAATATTGTCTAGGACGATGTTACAAAAAACAGTAAACTCTAGGGAACAGTCAGAAACTCTTATACGTTACAAAGCATCAGGAGCCACAACAAATACAATAGACTCAAGAAAGGAAAAAGGGTACAAACTTACTCAGACCTAGTCTACCCAATCTTGAGCTGATTCAAAATTGCAGTCCGATCGTATGAACCTAAAATGTCAGTACATAAGGCAGTCGTAGAGAAATAAAAATGTTTGCTATCATCAAAATCATAAACCATTGATCCGCAACATTGGTTAGTCGGGCCGATGGACCCACATACTGACCATTCTCTAGGAAATTATTAGATTTTCTTGGATTGGTGTTTTACTTCTTGATGATGGACATTTGACAAACTGAAAAATGAAATCCTAAAGAGTTATAAGGGGGTATAATGATGCAATGTGGTTGCAATTGTAAACATTGGAATACATACATTTACAACATCAGCATGCTAGAAATCATCGTTGGAACCATGGCATATGACATCATTGCTTTAATACATTGATTTTAGGTTGCTACTCTAACAAAATTTGATGGTATGTCGTCTGTCATTTGCTCCATGTCACATTCTTTTATTGTTTATGCTTTGATAGATTAAAATTACTTGTGTTTGATTTGTCAAACTTACTCATTATTATTTTTCATAGGAGGTCCTGTCGAAGTGTTAGGTGGACCGTCATCTCAGGAGCAAATCTATCAACAATAGAAATTTTATTTGGTACTTTTATATTTGTAGTATGTCATTTATATAATTACCTTTAAGAGTTGGATAGTTTTTTTTTTGTTATTATTACTTTTAGATTTCTTTTGTTTTGTTGTAGTCATTTTGCATTGATGTACTATTTTGAATTCACAATGAAATAAAAGTTCAAATCTCTTTTATGTCTCTGGTATGTTCGATTATATCATTAATTTATATACTTTTCTTTTTGTGAATGCAAAACAGAACTTTATATCCTTTCATCACGTCTCGTGTTACTAGGTTGTACTGCCTTTCGGACTTCAGGGTGTGACGGGGAACGAGAAAAAATGCAGTTGCTATTTTAGCATTGAGGCTAGTGGTGCATTTTGCTCAACTCAGAGTAAATTTTGTAGGTTTCTAACTGAAATATCTTAGAAATCAAAGAATATTTCAACAAAAAATCAAGTTCATTGAAAATTTGAATTTCTAATGAAATTTGAAACTTATTTCTATCAGTGGAAATATTCACCAATTTTTTGCCGCAATGTTATCAAAACAAAATTTGATGGAAAATTTTAAATCTCATGATTCCTTCAAGGCTCTCCCCAGATTGGTGATATTAAGAAAATCCCATCGTTGTTCATTGGCAATTTACAGAAGCTAATGCTTCCAAAAATCAGATTCACATACTCTCCAATTATCATAATAATTGAAAAATATAGTTCCTCAAATCCCAGCCATGTAATATAAATTGGATGGTTCAGATTTTTCTTATTTCAAAATCAGTAAGTTTTAAAGAAACAAAGAAAGATCAACCCCAATCATCAACCATCCGAAGTGGATCGGATGGTTGTGAATGATTGAGATTGGAGAAATTTATCCTTCATAATCTGAGACATCCGAACCCAGAAATTGTTAAAGCTTGCATCACCATGAATTTTGCCACCAATATTGCTATCTTAAGGGCATCTCCAACCGAAAAACTCATTTTCTACTCCAAAATTACAGTAAAACTTCAAAATGCAGTCATTATTTTCCAATCTAACGTCATTTCTTCTTCTTTCGCGCACTTCCTGTGAAGGAAACCATCTTTGGCGCGCTTCTTCCGCAAATCCTGCAACAAATTTTTTTGCCGTAGTTGAACAGTCCGACACCAATATTGACGTCACACTGTTCACCTATCGGAATTTGACGTGTGAATTGGAGTTTGAATGGAGCATGACAGACGGCATACGGTGATATGAAGTTCGGTTGGAGATGGTCTAAATATGAAAAATATACTCTTTTTTTTCCAGAAATCAAGATAGTACACAATAGGAGAACAATGAAGACATAAAATTTGAGATATGAATGGCTCTACTAAAACCTATATGATTATATCTCTTCAAACCCTCCCAGAAAAAAATAAAAACTATACACAGAAGCAAGTTCTGGTATTTGAGGTATCTTTTTCTTACCACATGGTGATCGAAGTTAAGAAACAATGGCAAAAAAGCCTGATTTGTTGGCCTCTTCAGTATGATTGATAATCATTTCTTGTTGAATATGCCGAAAAGGGATTTGATTGCATTGATGGCATTCTCGTTTATGAAAGACTCATCATACTTCTTCATAAGGGCCTCAAATTCTTCTGATGCTCTAACATTGGCTAAGTCTGGATCGCTGCGAATTCGCTGCAACAAAAAAGAGACAACAATGGCTAAGAAACTGAGCAGAGGATCAATTGCAGAAACTGAAGTGAGTTTCTGTCGGTCTGAATTCTTACCTTGAAATTTTCATATCCTGCTTTCAAGGCATCTTCTAATGCAGAAAGTCCAGCATTTACCTGTACAAAGGAGCAGCTTTTAATGGTTTCCAGCAATTGCAGATTTTGGGTGATAATCTTAGGCTTCATTTGGGACGACTTTTTTACTGTTTCTTAAAACAGCTTTTTAGTAAGAAATTAAAAAATTTGTACTAAAAAGTTGCTTTAAGAAGCAATAAGAAAGTCATCCCAAACGAAGCCTTAGAGTTTTACTATTGATGTATAGATAGATGATCATCTTCTAAGCAATTTCATTTTGCGATCTTATCTTAGGAAAAATTCAAGTAATTTCATTTTGCGATCTTATCTTAGGAAAAAAAAGTTGTGAAAATTTTTAGTTCTACTTTGAGATTAATGCAATATTAATTAGATATGCATTGCACTCATTCAAAAGCTTTAGTAGGATATATATTCCTTATCTTACCTGATTAAGCTTTGAATAGCAGCATGCCACATTGTAGTTTGCAACTGAGGCTTCATCCGGCTCTGGTTTTGATCCTAATACTGATTCAAATTTCTCCAGAGCTTCTTCATATTTATCAGCCCTTCAAACCAATAATGTTAGCCTAATTCGACTTTATTCTCTAGATTTATGATGAAAATTTCCTTGAAAAAGAAATTTAAACAATACCAAGAAGATGAGTTCATACTTGTAGAGGGAAAGTCCTTCGCGAAGATCATTCTCCCTCTGTTCCTTCTGTTCCTTTTTTCTCATATAGTTTTGAATCTGAAGTCATTTTTTCAAGCTCAATTTACAACATCTGAATTAAACACGTTGATCTTATAAAAAACTATGAATTTCTAGCTTCTTGAGCAGTGCTAACTATGATAAGCAGCAATATAATTAAAGCAGGTTCATGCAGGATATGATTCATACCTGAATTTCCCTAACTCTGTTGCTTATAAACCCTGCATTTCTTTCAGCTCTAATGATCTCTTTCTCGGTAAGTTCAGTATTATCGATAGGCTTTCCTGGCACAACACATGTACAAAGGATCATAAGAAATACTCAAAAGCTGGATTGGCATAGGAAGGTTCGTTTTTTTTTTATTAATATTATCGTTGTTTACTTTTTTTTGTTTTTGCAAGAAACTGCGATTTTACAAGACTTCAAGCCGGCAACTTCTTTTATGGATCCAAATATAGCCAGTATTAAGGAAAGTCGGTAGGGGTCACAATGGGTTTTCAGGCCGGGGTCAAGTCCAACTCAAAAATGACCTGTCATCATTTGACCCAACCCGATTAAGAAAATGGGTCATAGATCCAATCTTGAACCCGACCCGGTTCAAACCCGGGTCGACCTGACCCAGCCCGACAACAGTTTTTTATTTTTACTTTTGCTAATTTAGTATCCCGCTTTCGCACGCTTCTTTTGTTAAATCTCGCTTTCTAACCACCTCATCGGTCGACTGACCAAATCCATTTTGTGCGCTTCTCCTTCTTTCATTTCGCACGCTTCTTCTTCAACAAGAATCCCATAAATCGGTCCCGTCCGCCCCGCTTTCGGGCTTTTGCTTTCACGCACTTAGCCGCTAAGCCGAACCAGTGAACGAAAATGGCGAATCGCCAACGAAACAAAATCCCATTTCAGCCTCCTGTCTATGCGTGCATCTTCGACAAAATCTGTAAATCCTTCGGATCTAGGTCAACGCCAATTTAATTTTGAGTTGGCAGGGTGACCCAAGCCCGATCCATTTGTTAAACGGGTCAACCTGAATCCAAAATTTTTGGGTCGGGTTGGCGGGTTGGATCAATTTTTTGCACCCCTAGAAGTCGGTATGTTATTGTTGAACAACATGATCCGAGTACAAGATTAGTTCTCCAAGTAAGAAAGACCAACTCAATAAACTAGCCAAACATATGCTGAACTCACCATTGAATTGAAATTGATCAAAACTACCCAACCAGAAAGTATACGGGGCCCAATGTCCGGCTAGGAAAAATTGCCTAAGCCCGCCATGTCTGCTCTCCCGAGTTCAAAGCTAATTGAGAATCTTGCCAAAGCTGCTCGACAGAACTTTAACATGTATCAACGAAGTAATCAAGTGACTTCACCCAAATTCACCCTTTGACTACATTTATTAATCATAGATTGCCAGCCTATTTCACCACGAGTATTTGTTAAGTCTTGTTATGCAGTTTTATTTGAACAATTTATAAGTAGATATTTTTGTAATGCAGTACTTCAATCTAAATTTATAAATAAAAGGTTTGAAGATGAGCTTATCACATCCAATCATTTGTTCAAGCTAGACATTTTTAGGCAATCTAGTTAAGTACTAGAACTTCTTACCCTAAATTCTCTTTGTAAATTTTCTTTCTAGCTCAATCTATTCTTGTTATTAAAATTTTGATGTCAATCTAAATATAGATCTAACAAGGAACATTATCATCATTATTATTTTTAACAGCTGGTTCCATCTATTAACTGCTTTCATGATAGTATAAAGTTTTGAAACATAAATCTGATTTTTAGGAAATTGCTGTTTAAGGTTGAGATTAGCATGTGTTTGGCTTGAATGAGCATACTAATATTCAGAAGAAGCTCATAATAAACTTATTCAGCTATGATTCAGGCATTTTTCTCACTAGCATATGAATAGCTCAAGGGACTGTTTGATTTAGTGAAAAAGAAATATAAAGTAAAAAGAATGCAGTGTTTTAAAATTTTTCTTAAAGGAATGCCCAAGGAATTTATTAATATATATAAAATTTATCATTTAATTTATTTTTAAAATACTTGGAATTTATCCACTTTGGATGAATTTTAAATACAAAGCTTATCTGAAGCTTCACTATAAATAATTGTTCTGCTGTAGCTACCCCTACTGCCCATTGGCGTTAGACTCCTAAAAGCAACCAGAGCAACCAACCAACTACTGGTCGTAGACCAGCAATGCAGCCATAACCCCACCCACCACGCGGCCAACGGCTATTGCTCGCTACCAGGCCAACCACAAGCTAACATTGGCATCCGGATTGTTGCAACACACCGCAACTGACCATCATTATTGTCGTTTTATGATTGAATCATTCTCTTCAAATCAAACAAAAAAGATGATCTCATTATCTTTGTTTTATACGCATATAAACCAACCTTTAGCATACTTTATATGTACTATATTTATTTTTATATTAATATTATTTTTTTATTCCATGCAAAAAAACGACCTTCAGAGTAAAACCCTCTCAGTTGTCCGTCGCTGATTGAAAATCCAAGGGACTGAAGGTAAATACTTGAGTTCGCAAAGTAACCCTAAGGGGAATAACTTGAGTTTCACAAGCAAACCCTATCTCTAATTGGTGAAAACAGCGAGAGTAATGTAAAATTTGGGCGAAACAGCCCCAAAATGTAAGATTGCAAGAAGAGAGAAACTGCCAAATACAAATACGAAGGCAAAAATACAATTAATCTCAATTCGAGAGAAGATTTCTCTCCCAAATCTCTAGACAAGAGAGTTCTAGAAGCCCAAATGCCAAGAAACCCCCTAATTCCAGATCAATGCAAAACCTGAAAAACCTCCCATCCCCTCTCCTCTTAATTAAAACAATTTCCTAATCAATTTTCCCTCCCAGCCTAAACCGCCCCTCCGTTTAATTTTTCAAACACAAGGATGGGGGCCCGCTCGTTCGGGCTGGCACAAAGCCAAGGAGGCGGAAGGAAGTCCGCCTGCCGTATAAACAATTTTGAGCCGGCCCCCCTATGGGCCGGCTGGTACCGGTTTTTCACTGTGTACCGGTCTAGACGGGACATTTCTATTCTGTGGATAATGCAATGAATACAACTATAGTTTGTTTTCTAATAATCTAATGGTTTAGCTACATTGGTGAAGTGTAGAATCTGAAGAGACTTTATTTATATATACGATTTTGCTTCATTCTCAAATATTCTGTTACAAAACTTTCCTGCATTTACTAAATAGTCCTTTTTGACCTAAAAAGCTTAAGCTGATGTTGTCGTACGCTGATTTCTATTAATTTTTAACATGCCTTGTAATTGCCAATGTATGGTAAGCACAGGCTGGACTAGTCAAATCTTACATACATACAAATCCAACTGTCCATTAATTTATTCATCTGATTACCTTGAAATAATCGTAATCAAACAATACCAAGAATTTAAAAAATATCGTCTGCATATAACTGATATTTTTCATTCAAATTCACTGTAGGATCAATATTTAAGCTCAATTCAACCAAGCACAATGGATCAAATCAGAATGATCAGTTCACAAAGTCATGGGTATATAGCAATAATCGCCATTGAGTATTCGACAAGGGCTGATTTAGGGAATTTTCCCCAGGCAAAGCAAAGGCTACTGGATCAAGAATTCAAAGGCGTATTCCTATGTTTTCACTAAAAACATCAGAACTCAACGAGCCATGGCGAGTCGTTCAAAGATTTCACATGGACTTGCAATGTAAGCTTAAAAAATCAATATGTAAGATCTATATAGTCTTTATTTACAAAACAATAATTATTAAATTTTTGCTTATAGTAATTTACTTGTATTGTTCAAATGGGATTTTCCTAACACACTTTGCTGCCTTATCCAAATCTATTTAATGATGATTATGGGCTAAGCCTTAACACTTACAATCATTTTACACTTTCCGACCATTTAGTGAAAATTCTAAAACAATCACTTCCTAATTCTTTTTTCCCAATTGTACTATTCTCTTGTTTCTCAGCCACTCTTGTTAATAAGATATTGGTGTTTACTTACGAATAATTTCAATCTAAAAGATAAAATTATGTTAAGATACTACAATAACACATCATCGCAAACATATATCTTTACCTAACGATGGGCAGTTTGCGCTCATGCAATTTTTTATTTCTAATTGTGTCATATTAAGAGTTCAATTCTCATTTAATCTAATAAAAAAGGTCATTTCGAATACATTATATACCCAGTCTCTTTTAGCGTTTACCTTTACCTTCTTAAGCATTAGTCTAGATTATTAATACATCTATAAGCTAACTGAGGCCATAGCAAAGCCGAGTTTTATGTGACCAAATCAATCTAAAGATGACTTTCTCTAATATCTTATTTGCTATTGGAGCTACTACAAGACCTTGAACGATATATACTCATTTCCACATATGTCCGATTAAGTGTAAAGTACTCATCCACCCGAGCATTCTCTCTACAACACTAACTTAATTTTATGCTATCTTTAAGTGACCCAATATTTCTGCATCATAAATTTAATGGGGGTTCTGCACCACCAATCATATAAAAATTTTCCTTAAGTTTGAGGAAGTACTTTTCTATCACCAACATTCTGATGCTTTATCCTCCACTATCAACCATCCAAACTTGAATTCTATTAATAAGACCTCCCCTCTATTTTCACCAATCATTTTGAACAATAGAGTCCAAGATATCTAAAATGTTCACGTCATTTCAATAATTTGATCACCCAATATTTACAATCCGCACCACAAGATCTATTCTAAAATTATACACCAATGGTAATTTGGTTTTAAGATCTACTCAAATGAAAACCTTTAGACTCTAATGTTGACCCTAGATTATCAACTTTTTCCTTAAACTGCCCTCTCGTCTTTCAAACAAGAAAGATTATAACAAGAGGGGGGAGATTATAATCGCAAAAACCTACACCATAGTACATCCTCTTGCATAAACACTGTCATTGCCGAGTCCTAAAAGTTTCAGATGAAAAAAGTGGAGGGTTGTGTTAGGTAGACGACAACGCAGCATAAAACTTGTCGAAATTTAATCATGATCATAACAATATGTAAAGATGAGCCAAGATAAAAATGCTCAAAATTTGCTAGATGTTCGAAACATAAAATACATTTTTAACCAAAAACCTGGAAACAATATTAAGGATTATTTTTTTTTCAAAAATAAAATTTAAGTGTCTTTTAATTTTAAGCATTTTATCTTCTTCCGCTAACACACATTTAACTTGATGCACTAGATTTCCTGCAAAAACCACAA